AATGCGGCAGCTGTCCCTGGGCGTCGCGCCGGGACCCCCCCACCCCGCCGGGAAGGACGCGTGAGGAATCTTGCACCGAGCTTCCCAAGCCCCCCCGGCCCCGCCAGCTGCTCCGCCCTGGATGCCTGAGCCTGGGGGACAGGCCGGGGGCACAGCGCGGACCCCTGCAGCAAGTGAGCGAGACATGGGTGTGCTCGAAGGGAAGTGAGCCCCACGCGGCTGCTCTGAGCACACCCGGAGCGTGCGTGGCAGGCACGGAGCAGGAGAGGTGGAGCTCTGGGGCTGGCACATGTCTGCACACACGGGCACACACCCCTCTGCTGTGCTGCGGGTGCACGCATGCACACAGCCACTGCATGCTGAGTGCACGCCTCCCAGCACACGCCTGCTGCGCCCCAGGGGGGCTCACACCTGCATGTGCACACTGCACACTCATGCCTGGACATACACATTGCACCCACATCTGCACACATGCACACACACTTTGCATACTCACACCTGCATGTACACATGGCACACCCACACCTGCACGCATACACACACACACACACACATTGCATTCTCATGCCTGCACATACACATTACACATACACCTGCATGCACACACTGCACGCTGACACTTGCACGTACACATAGCACACTCATGCCTGCATGTACACATTACACCCACACCTGCACACACACATTGTACACTCATGCCTCCATTCCCCTGTTGTTCTCTGGGTGTACTCACATTTGCACACCCCCCAGCCCAGTGCACAGGGATTGCATTCACACTTCCCAGATCTCCCTGCAGTTCATGTGCTCGAAGGGGTGACCCTACGGTGCTGGTGCCCGGGCGGGCAGTGCCCTTTCCCAGCCCTGGGTGCAGCCAGCAGACACCCCAGCACCAGCTCGTGGCCTACAGGGGTGCCACCTATGCCAGGATTGGAGCTCAGCCCTGCCCGGGCACGGACCGCGCTGCCCTTTCCCTGGGCAGGCTGCCGGCAGCCCCCCCCCGCTGCCTGCTCTCCAGATTGCCAAGCGCCGCGCAGGTGCAGGTGCCATCTGTCCGCTCGCAGGGCGCTGGAAGGGGGCCAAGGCAGGCGCAGCGGCACCAGCCGCACGCGGTGGCTGTCATGGCGCACACTCAGCTGCACAGGGGGTGCCCCTGCCCGAGGGCTCGCTGAGAGCAGCTGGGTCATGGCACCCCTCCCCTCCCCTCCTTGCCCTGGGACCCCCCCCCCATGCAGCAGACGCTTTGCAGATGGCACCCAGGGCCCTTCGGCCCCGTGCTGCGCTGGAGGGCACGTCCCGGCGCGGCGCAGCTGAGGCAGGGAGTGCCGAGACTCCCTGCAGCTCCCGGCACAGGGCTGACACCCCCGTCTGCACCATCGCGGGTCCTTCATCCCATTGCACCCCGGCCTGGGGAGGGGAAGGCATGCTGGGATAAGCCTCGGGGGCTCTGCGTGCCTTCCTGCCTATGCCCCCGGGGAGGCGGGACGGGGGCGCTGTGCCCTGCCGCTCAACGGGCCGCGGCTGTCGGCAGACTCAGGCAGACGCCCCCCACCTGCCCGGAGCTCCTGCACGTCCTGAACAGAAGCAACTCAGCAACGCAGCTCCGCACAGGGACGACTCTGCGTCTAGCCCAGGCCCGGGGGAACCGGTCCTCACCCTGCGCCCGGGTTCCCTGCTAGACCCCCCAGGAAAAACGAGGAGTACGGACGCCCCAGTGCAAGTTCCCCAGGTCAGGAGCCGTCTGTCTGCACCCAGGCCAGGCCAGGGCAGGGGCTGAACAAGGCCTGCTCCCCTCGCCAGCGGTGAGGTGCTGAATAGCTGCAGCCCCGGGCTCCCTGCCTGTCTGCCCCCTCCGAATCCCAGGGTAGGGCACCTCCGCACACAAAACCCGTTACACTGGGGTAAACGCCGGTGTCTGTCCCGGCCCCGCGGCTGGAGTTCCCGCCACGCCGAGTGGCTCGGAAAGCTCGAAGGACACCAGAAAACCCCACGGGCACCAGCCACCGAAACCCAAGACCACCCTCGGCCTGGGGCACTGTCCGGTGCCCGGTCGGACTTGCCTCTCAACGCCCCCCAGGCCAGCTTCTCTCACCCCCACGCTGGCCTCTCCCCGGGAGCCCAGATGCTAAATGAGACCGGGCCTAATTAGCAGCCACTCCAACCCCTCGGCCTCCCTCCCGTGGCTCCAGACCCCCAAGGACTTGGGTCTGCAGCTGTCACAGCCCCCTCTCCCCGGGGAGCGCGGCCCCAAATCTGCGAGCCTCGTGTCTCCCGGGCCGGCCTGGCACTGCCCCGCACAGCGGGGGGCACAAGGGGAAGCTCCAGCTGCTCCCCACACACTAGTGTGAGTGCCAAGCTAGTATATCACACAATTGGTGCCCTGAGTGTGCAATGAGCACGCAGTGGGGACCCCACCCCCAGGTGAGCCCACCGTGCTGGCATGCGGGCAGCAGATGGCAGCATTGTACCAGCGAATGGGGCCTGGTGAGCACCCACGTGCAAGAACGCGGCGTGTGCTCACACTCGCAGGGGGCCGGGCCAGGCTCACACGCCGCTGGTCACCGTGCGGCTCTGACCACACCAAAGGCACACGGGTCCCAATCAGACTGGGACCCACCAGAGCTTGTCCTCTCGATCTAGGTCTGCTTTGGTTAGTCTAGACAGTGCAACTCTCCTTGGCTTTCTGTGCCGGGGGAGCCAGCCCCGATGAAGTGGCTGCTCCTGCCCTGCTGATATCCCTGGCAGCGCCCGGCCAAAGAGATGCTCCTAAGTCATTGCTCTGCCCTCGACCCGCAGCCTGATCCTGGGAAGAGCCGAGTCCCACCGGGTCTGGCATTGCAGCTGGCCCTCACCCTCCAGCACGGGGGCACATCCACGCCAGGCGCCACTCCCCAAAGGGGAGACCGCAGCGCCAGGACGCGCCAGCTCCAGGCAATGCCAGGGCACCTCTCTGCAGGGCTGAACCAGCCCTGTGCTCCCCAGGTGCACAACCGCGGCTCTCGTGCACCAACAGCCGGGATAACGAGAGCGGGGAGAGGGTGGCGTAGAGCCCCCCAAGCTGGGTGCCAGGGCTCAGGCCCCCCCAGGGACCCCGCTCCCTGCAGCCACCCAGGGACCCGCGCCAGGATGCTGGCCCGGAGCCCTTGCTCCAGCTCGACCCACGTGCAGCCAGGTGTGCCGCGAGCCCTGCGCTGGAGAGCGTCCGGGGGGTCCTGAGTCAGGAGATGTCGCTGCCCTTTTCCATGGGCAGGGAGGGGGCGATTCCTGCCTCCCCCGCTCCTGGCTGGCTCGGGGCTGGCACGAAGGCAACGGGTAGCATTTGAAAGCCATTGGCTGGCCCCCGCGCCGCCCCGAGCCCTGCGCGGCTGTCACATCCCATGCCGTCACGGCTGGGCGCTGAGCCGTGCAGCCTGGCGAGTGGCGACGCCGGCTTGTCAGCCCGCATATGCCCGACTCCCGTGACGAGGAGACGACGAGAAACCAAACGACCCCCCCGACCCCGCACTGCCACCCTTGTCGCTCCCGTGCCCCCAGGGCAGGCGGGCTGGGACCCACGGGAGACACGGTGCTTGCCCCCCTCCCTGCTGCCCTGCTCGTGGGGGTCATCTCCCGGGAGCAGGGCGGTCTCCGGCTGGGCCCAGGATGCTCGGCCTTGCTCCCTGCAAGGTCAGCTCTGCCCGCTGACCCCAGGGGCAGGGGGAGAGCAGGGCTCGGGGGAGGCCCTGCTAGGCGGCACAGCCCGAAGCATCCCACGCCAGCCCCCGACTCGGCGGCAGGTCGGCGCTCAGAGCAGCGGGGAGGGGGGCTGTCGGTCTCTGTCCGTCTCCCTCCCTCCGATGCCCTTGACGAGCATCTGATTTCCTTGGCAGGAGAGCGCGGTCGTTTCTCCTTCGCTGCTTCACCCTGCGGCCGCGGCCCCGACCCCACTGGCCCCATCAGCCCCGGCCGCCTCGCTGGATCCTAATGCACTATGGCAGGAGGAGCGGGGGTAGCAGATGCTCCCTGCCACCGGCGCGGGGACTCGGGGGGCCGGGGCAGGCCGGGGGCTGCTCAGACCCACGGCAAGACCCATCAAAGCCAATCGGCCCTGACAAAGCGGCGCTGACACGGGTCACGGCACGCTCCCCGGGAAACGGAGCAGAGCGCGTTCTCCCTGTCCGCTGCCCCGTGGCACCCCGCGCCCCACTTTGCCCAACGAGCCAGATGCGCTGAAGTCAACACA